AAGAACACGCAGAACATCTTCGTCTAATTCTGGAATTACTGAAAAGAGAAAAGTTGTACGCAAAGTTATCTAAATGTGAGTTCTGGTTAAGAGAAGTACAATTTTTCGGTCATGTCATATCTGAAGCTGGGGTAATGGTGGATCCAACTAAAATAGAAGCAGTTGCAAGATGGGAAGCTCCGAAAACTCCTTCTGAAGTCCGAAGCTTTTTGGGATTGGGCGACTATTATCATAAGTTTAGTCAGGACTTTTCCAAGATAGCCGTGCCATTGACTAAATTGACTCGGAAGAACATTAAATTCCAGTGGGAAGGAGAACAACAAGAAGCTTTTCAATTATTAAAGAATCATCTTTGTAGTGCACCGGTATTGACTCTACTAAACGGATCTGAAGACTTTGTGGTTTATAGCGATGCTTCAAAGTTGGGGTTAGGATGTGTTCTGATGCAGAGAGGAAAAGTGATTTCKTATGCGTCAAGACAATTGAAAGATCATGAGAAACAGTATCCAACCCATGATATGGAATTAGCTGCAGTGGTGTTTGCTCTGAAAATCTGGAGACATTATCTTTTGCGAACAAAATGTCAAATTTATACTGATCATAAAAGTTTGCAACATTTGTTCAGTCAGAAAGAATTGAATATGCGACAGCGTCGGTGGATTGAACTTGTAAATGATTATGATTGTGAAATCCTCTACCACCCGGGAAAAGCCAACGTGGTAGCTGACGCTTTGAGCAGGAAAGAAAAAGAGCGGAACTGTTAAAGCTGTGGCAATGAGAATGAATTTGGTTCCTGACATTCGTAAAAAAATTCAGAAATGTCAACAAGAAGCTATGAAAGAAGAATTTGTTAAAACAGAAAGGTTGAGTAAGATGATTTCAACCTTGGAACCAAATGACGAAGGACTAATAATGTGCTTTCAATGACGAATCTGGGTACCGTGTTTTGGAGATATCCGGAACACTATATTAAATGAAAGTCATAAGTCCCGATACTCTATTCATCCAGGTACCAATAAGATGTATAGAGATTTGAAACCTTTTTATTGGTGACCCGAGGTTGAAAAGGGACATAGCTAAATATGTAGAACAGTGTCTGACATGTCTACAGGTTAAGATTGAACATCAGAAGCCGTATGAAATCCTTCAATCTTTGGAGATACCTGTATGGAAATGGGATCACATTACAATGGATTTCGTCATGAAGTTGCCTCGAACTCCAAAGGGGTATGACGCGATTTGGGTAATTGTTGATCGCCTATCTAAATCTGCGCATTTTCTGCCAATGAAAGAGAAGTACTCTCTAAAAAAACTAGCACAGATTTACATTAAAGAAATTGTAACCAGACACGGAGTTCCATTATCTATTATCTCTGATAGAGATAGTCGGTTTACTTCAAAGTTCTGGGAAGGGTTGCAGAAAGCTTTGGGGTCTGAAATCCGACTAAGCACAACTTATCATCCGCAAACTGATGGGCAGAGTAAAAGAACTATCCAGACTCTCAAAGACATGTTGAGAAGTTGTATTATTGACTTCGGGGATCGTGGGAAGATCACTTGCCATTGATAGAGTTTGCATATAACAATAGTCACCATTCCAGCATCTAAGCGGCACCGTATGAAGTATTGTATGGACGTAAATGCCGAACGCCGTTGTGTTGGAATGAGGTGGGTGAAAGACAGCTGACAGGTCCTGAGATTGTCCAAGAAACTTCTGAAAAGATTGAACAGATCCGTGAAAGAATTAAAACAGCACAAGATCGCCAGAAAAGTTGTTGATAATCGTCGAAAGCCGATTGAATTTTGTGTAAGTGATTTTGTGATGTTGAAAGTTTCGCCGTGGAAGGGTGTCATCAGATTCGGAAAGAAGGGTAAGCTCAGTCCGAGGTATGTTGGGCCATTCACGTACAACACTGTCCGAGCAAACCTATCCAGACAACACATATACGGACAATATTTGATGATGAACAATAAACACCGGTCACACCTTGTCCGGATACCCTCTTATCGGATATTAGTCGGACAACACTTGACTCGTCAAACATAAATTTTCAAACAACGTAATGAACGATAAGTAATTTAACCGAACAATACTATGTCCCGTAAGGTGTCCTTATCGGACAAAGTTATGTCCAATAAGAGACCTTATCGGTCGACACTCTACAAACCCCAAACTTTTCTCTCCGGCCAAGATTTTGTCGGTGAAAAGTTCTCATCGGACACCATTTAGTTATCCAATCCTTCACCGGCCAAAGCTTTGCCGGTGAGGTGCCCTTATCGAACAACAAAGTGTCTGGTTATAAATTATTTTTCGGATAATAAATGTATCAAGAACACAACCAAACATACATGCAACAATAGTTATAAATTTATGCAAAATCAATAATAAAGGTAAGTTCACAAATGTTTTGCATGTAGTAAAACTCACCTTGGAAGAAAAGAATTTGAAATTGGAGAAGGAATTAGTAAATCAACTTCCACTTGATCTCAAATCCTCAATTTCTAGAAACAGCAAATAACACACAATTTCTCTCAACTTACCAAAAATGGCGAAAAAACTTCACCCTTGACATACTTCCTCTTTAAATACCCTTTCCTTAAGAGGAAGGCAGTGGAGGATTTTACATGCATACACATGCATGTACCCTCATATTTTAACCCATGCATGCATATGTTTTGTTAAAAAAAATCTCTATTATATTTTATTGACTATGGTTTTTCATCATCTTTATTTTTAAAAATTATTTATGTTGTGTTTGTATTCTTTTTGTGTCTTTTTATTTTGGGTAATTTTTGTTTTTCTAATATTGTTGTATTTATTCAAAAAAAAAAAATTTGATTCTTGACAACAATCAAATTATGATTAAGTGTGATCTATTTGGAGTTTTGTTATTATAAATTTTTTTCTCCATCTTTTGTATTTATAGAATTTCTTAATTTGTTTTTTTCATGTCATTCTCTGTATTGTGGTTATTAAGAAACCAATATATATCATGTGATTGTTTGTTATTTAAAAAGAACACTTAAAATGATGTTTATGCATTTATTTATTTGGAAATCAATAAAATGTGTATTCATGTGGTTTATATATATAGAGGAGCGTTCAAATAAAAACCTGCCTCATTTGTGTAAACCGTGTAAATCAATCTCATTCATCCATTTTATTGATCAATCACCAAGATTAGTTTACTTTATTTTAGGAAATTAAAAAAATATATATATTAAAATTTTATTTTATTTCAACAGTAAGGGAAAAAATGGTAAACAAAATTTAACATTTGGTAATATCCTTCTCGATATTAATGACACTATTTTCATTTTTTAAAGCAATATATTATTTTTAACTTTAAATTACATCCATCAATAAAACATATCAAAAAAAATGAATATAACACACCATATTCAATTATATGGAGTGAATCATTTTAAATTTTGAATTACATTATACGAACGAAATTGGTTTCAAAATTTAATCAAACGACTAATCCACGTAATACTGATCATATTTCGTAATTTTCATTGTACTAGTAGATGGATCTGTTACACTTAGATAACAAAAAAATTTCATCGATTACTGACTTCATAAAAGTTTATAATACAACATGAAATTGTTTCACTTATGCAACCATTTCACTAATCAGGCTCAATACTGCCATGAACCAGTTTCACTTTCATGAAAACTATTTCATGTACAGTAATTTTCTTATTTCACCACCGACTTGATGGAATCATTCCTTTAGTCCTTACAATCTTGAAGATTTTGGAGCAGGTTATATGTAATCTTCAAGATTATGTAGTAGATTAAAATCATTTCCCCGTTTCATCATGCACTTCGTTCATGACAAGCGAAATACAAAATGACTCAACTACACCATCAATGCAACGGGTTGACCATGAAAATGTTTCGATTCACATAATTCATTTGCAACAAGACCCGGTTTCACGTTCATGAAACTTGTTTCATTTTCCTTTTCATAATTTATTTTCAAAATGCACCGGTTTCATTTTCCTTTACATCAACAAAATGGATCAACTACACCATCAATGCAACGGTTTCACTATAAAAATGTTTTGGTTCACCTAATTTATTTGCAACATGAAACCTGTTTCATTTTCCTTTTCATAATTTTTTTCAAAATGCACTGGTTTCATTTTGCTTCTCATAAAAAAAAGGATTAACTACACCATCAATGCAACGGGTTCACCATAAAAATGTTTCGGTTCACCTAATTTCTTTGCACATGAACCGGTTTCACGTTCATGAAACCTGTTTCATATTGTGGATTTTTTTTGTTCATCTACGTTTTGATGATTTCATTCTATAATTCAATTGTTTCATCAAGACACGTTTCCTGATTATAACTCATGATAATATATGAAATCCAAAATTTTAATATTTTAATATAATTAAATATTTAAATGTTACCATTTATACAATTTTCTTTATTACGTTTCCTCAATTAAGATTTATTAATAACTTCCATATTTAATAGAAAATATTGTAAATGACCGAAATACCCTTATTGATTAAATTTAATTAGAAAAAAAAAGGAATTTTCCAATTGGTCGAAATTGGTTTATACGTTTTCTTAAAAATGCACGGTTTTCATTTGAACGTGCCCCTATATATATTATATATTTTTGTTTGTTTTTATTAAATTATTTATATTATATGATATGTGTTTTTTGTTTTATTATATTAAAATTATTTAAATTTGTTTAAAGTTTTATTTATTTATTTATATAAATATTATATTTAAAATACGTAATGAAAAAATTGATGTTTTTTATTGGGTATAAATTGGTTATGCCATGAAGACGGCGAGATTATGCTATAACTCTAATAAAAGAAAACGATATATGAATGAGCTGACATTATAATATTTCAATATTAATTTAATTTAAAACTAGTATGAAATTAAACCCAAAACCTTCCACTTATTCTATAAGAATGCCCATTAAGTAAAAGCTTAACTTAACCTTAAACAACAATCAATTTTGAACACCTTGGATCCAACAATACCTCAAATACTAATGTTAATCCAACAGAATGGACCCCACAAGGTTAACAATCCCCATTATAACAAAGGGCAAAAGAGAGAACGTAGAACATATATATTCTTTTACATCATGTCTTTTGACCAAAACTGTTCTCAAATCCATATCTAAAAGAGTGTGTGACAGTGATGAGAAGGGTGGGGATGTGTTATTCCCAGAATGCATGAAGATGGTACATTCTATCATTTACAATGTTGTATAAAAACTAAACATTCATTAATACATGAATTTTATGCCCACGACTCTTTTTCTTTTACTGTAATCCTGTTGAAAGGGTGGGTCTTCAAGAATGAAGGTGAGTTTAGAACAACTGGAAGAAGAGGCTTGTTGATCCGTCCCCAAATGACCGTAAATCCGCTGGTTTCACCAAAGCCCTGCATAGGGGACACGTTCTCTCTCTTTCGAACCTGAAGAAAACAAACTCTAACTCCTTAACACTCCTAATAATCATTATTCGTCAAAAAATTCAAACAAATGATTATTTAATATCACTTGATTACTTTTCAAACAAAGAAGTTGATGGTATTTGATAATCTTCATTGGAAGTTATGTTAGATATTTGACAAAAACAAGTTCCTTAAACTATGTTTTCCAACTTTTTTCTTGTATCTTCTATTAACTTAGCATGCATATACATACAACCAACAATTAACATTGAATTAAAAGATTATGGCGTTTGAAGCGGGATCTAACCATTCTGAAACACAATCTTCGCAGAAAATGTGTTTGCATCGCAACAAAACAGGAGCCTGCATCTTTTCCTGGCAAATAGCACACAAGTCTCCTGCTTCAATTACCTGCTAGTGAGAACAAGATTGAATTAAGAGGACAAAAATAAGAGACTGTATAAAAGAAACAAAATCGAATGACATCTTCCATCCCAAACTAAATGTAGCATTGCCTATGCACATAGTTTAATGCAAGAGGTCGAATATAGTCAAATCTCTAAAATGTCCCTCAACAGTGACAAAACAAGAGACTCTTGAGTCTTCGACATCCCAAAAAGGAAATCATTTACCCTTGTATTACTCCTTCCATCACAAAATATTTCTATTTTAGTTTGTCTCAAAAGGAGTGTCCACTTTTCGGTTCTACCCTTAATTATGAGATGAAGAAATCTCACTTCATCATTAAGGGTAAAATTGTCATTTACATGATCAAAAAGTGTAATAATTACATATCTAGTGACATTTATTTTGAGGATGGAGGGAGGGAGTATAAAGTTTCTCTATAGAGTATTATAGACTATACCTTTAGGCCATTAAACATTTCACTTTTTTCTTATATGGTGTCAGAAGAAATGCGATTGTGGGTTCGATTAAAAAAAAACTTTGATTCCGCCCACAGTATTGAAAAGTAAGTATTTGTGAATGTGTTTAGCATCCGAAGAAACCAAGTATATCCCAGATAGAGGTATACTAAAGCAATAAACAAATTGCCTCATTATACCTGTTCTGGTGTTGCATAGGATCCATAATGGACTTCCTTTCGTGACAACGCCTTCAATGCAGTCCAGAAGGATCCAACCTGTAAACATACACTATATTTAACTCACAGATAACTTGCATTTAGAAGATATAGAAACACATTGCTTTCTAATCCTCAATACCTTCTCAACTATTGATGTGAGCTTGAATGTTAAATATAACCCCGTTGTCAAAGATGAAAAAAGGCTCCCATATTCTTTGTTTAAAAAGAAACGGTACCAGACTGGCGCAGGTAAGAAAGCACGGTATAACAGCAGTCCATACTCGACCACGGTCAGCATTTGACCCTAAAATATCAAAAGTTCCTGTCAGAATGTACTGAAAATATGTATTGGAACTCAAACATAACAAACGTAGATTTTAGTATTCTATATCCTTAATTACCCAAAGGGAAAAACAGCAGGGTCATTTAAGAAAACAACCTTCTGCCATATTTCTTTTAAATGCATAACCTTCCCACTGATTTTAAGGCATTCTTCTGTTAGGCGAGGTGTTTTTAAAAAATATATGTCAAAAGGTTATTCTCCTACATAACCTGCGGGAAGCATGCTATCAAGGAATCACCAATTTGACAGACAATGATGATGGATAACCAATTTGACAGATACTTGTTTCAAAATGGACTAAAAGAACATTCAGCCATTCACCAGAACTGCTAAGAGAATGACGGATTTATTTGTCAAACTGACTAAAACTAAAATACACCCGTTAAATCAGAGAATGACTTGTAGTATATTTTATTTTTTGGTAATTAAATGTATTTTATGTTAGATCACATTACCTGCCTACGGAAATTATGGCCCTTGCCATTCCTATAATACATAAGCAATACCAACTTAAAAGCCATTGCTGCCTGCTGCACCATTGTATCTGCAAACAATAAAACTTGTAAAAAACGATGAAATATTTGCGTATTTACATAGTAAATAGTTGCAGCAATGGATTTTAGGCCATGTGAATTTTATATAAAATAATTTGCATCTATATAACATGGTAGACATTGAAGCATCAAAGACTTTCATCGATTGAAGATACATTTAATATTGGCAATTTTTTTCCATCAAATGTTGACAAACATAAGGTGAACTAAAAAAATAAACCAAAATAACAAGTGTGGTATGTAAATCCCACCACAAAGTCTTATCTTAAAAAGTAATAAGAAAACTATAGAGTGATAGCCTTCTAAGGCGGAACGCTCCCCTACCGATGTATTTTAAAATCCCACAGCTTCGGCAAATCGCTTAGCCCCGTTCATCTTTTTGAAAAGTTACACTCGCTCTTTCTATTATAGTTTTCCCAAAATAAGTGTCTACTTTCTAATTCTACCCATAATTATATGATGGAGAAATTCATTACTCTATCTACTATTAAGGGTAAAATTGTCATTTAGACAATTAAAAAGTGTAATAATTACACATTTCTAAAACTATGTGCCTTTTTCATTTGGCATTTATTTTGGGACTGAGGAAGCAAAAAAAATTTGACCACATAGGTTATTGTGAAAATATAAATGCAAAAATAAACCATGGTACTTGGCAGTTGGCGCTTTTCGTCCAAAATTGCTCATTCTTGCAAAGTCTAGTTTCCTTTTGGCATTTTGCCAAGCAAGATGGTTTGCTTTCAACGAAAAGCCAAGTACAATGGTAAGAAAAATCAATCACTAAACCACAGGGGTGGTGTCTGATTAGTTTGAGCTTGGGCTCCAAAGGTCAAAAGTGCCTGGAGATCCCAGGTTCAAATCCAAGGAGGAACAAAAATTCCCTTGTGGCCACGGAGGTTCAAATGCGGTGACTCCGGGCTACCTGCAAAGCAGGTGGTTGCCCTGGGATTAGTCGGCTCGCATAGCGGGTTGGATATCCAGGTTAATCAAAAAAAATCAATCACTAGAAATAAATTCATACCATTCACAATGATGGTGAATATGGCATGCCAAAATGGTGGTATTGCTGTTGGTGGAACCATGAACAATGGATCACAAAGATCTTCATTTTGGTACCACCAGTATACTCCAATCACATGAAGCACGAAAACTATAAAATAACCAGCAAGAACAGAAAGTCTTCTCTCCCCCTGCATAAACGATCTATCATTAAGCTCAACACGAAAGGAATAAGGAGGTTTGAATTTAGATAGAAGAAGTGGGATCATACCTTTAAAGCCGTCTGCTTTCGAAGAATATCATTAGACTTGTACATGAAAGTGGTTACATAAATCGTGACAAAGAACCCTACAAAAGATGATGATATAAAGCAATTAATATGAATTCTCATGTATTAAGATTCAGATATATTTCAAAGGGTAAAGAATTCAAACATGAAGATAAAATGGCTAGAATAGATAATCATGCAAAGAATAATGATTTAATGAATTAAAAATTTAGGACACAACATTTAAGTAGTTCAACAATTAGCGGACATCAATGGTCATTGGTTAGGATTCTTATTACACAAAAAATATTACCAATATAAAAAGGGAAACTATCATTCATGAGATAGTGCTTCAGTACCGTATATGCTAAATTTCTTGTCCTCAAAATTTCTTAAGCACAAAGGAGACAAGAATTAACTCCAAAATGCAAGGTGTGACATATCTTCATTCCATTAAGAAGAACGCACTTCATGAAAATTGCTACACTTTTCTTTTCCGATGTGTCAGATGAAAATTGTCACATTCTTTTTGTGTTAAGATCGCCTATTTGCACATTGTCATCATTAGAAACAAATTGATGCAATTGATATGGTCTACCAGTTTTCTTTATTTCATCTGCGCTGGAGGGTCTTTTGGACATTCGACAAAATGCCAAAATATTCCTAAAAGCGTATGGGTAGTCAAAACAAGATAAAGGCTAGCAACTCATGCAACAAAATGGACTAGGCATAAGCTAAACTTAGGATGTAAAAGACTCAAGGCTCAGTTTAGCTACTAGGGGCCGTTTACCAACACAATTTGGGTAGCGCTAACCAAGTAAGAGTGCGATCAGGCTCAACACTAGTCACTGACCAAGTAAGGGGTTGTTTACTTATGGCTTAATGAGCTTAATGGTCTGGACAGCTTATTCATACAGCCATACAGGAGTGTCTCTTTATGGCTTAACCATTAGGCCATTAAGCCAAAATGACTATATGGAATAAGCCATGACCCTCACTTTTCCCCATTAAGCCATCTCAAATAAATTAATTCCAAAATGTCCTAGAACTAATCCAACTCTCTTTCTTTGCCTCCCTTAGGTTCCCTTTTGGTTTGCAGGACTGGATTGGATTTGGAGGGATTTGGAACTGACTTCCTTTCTAACCCCATGTTTTGAAGGATTTCCTAGATTTGAAATCCCACAAACATAGGATTCTGAAATCCCACAATTTAGGATTTTGAGATCCCACAACATAGGATTTTGAAATCCCACCAGGTTGGTTGGTATTCCATGGGATTTCATAGATTTGTATGTAATAATGTTTTAAATATGCTAAAAACATTTATTTTGTAAAAATCAATTAATAAAAGGTAATTTAATTTTTATTATAATGATTCTATTCCAAATCCTATAAACCAAACTCACCAAAGATTCCAATTCCAAATCCTTCCATGAAATCCATATTCCTGAAAACCATTCCATCAAACCAAACACCCCCTTATAGAACTAGATGGAAAAAAACTAATCAACGCCTAAGAGCCGTTCCCTTAGCTTATGAGGTCAGCATCATGGATCGGCACGAGAGACTTGGTAAACAGCAGCATCTTTGACCGGGTAAGAGTCTCTTAGCTTGCTGACACACATACTAGTAAAATGTGTATGTCTCTCGGTATCAGCTATAACCCAACATGACTCAAATGCCTCAATTATCCTTGCTCAATTCAAGGCTACTCAAAATCCATCTTCCAAAATCAAAGTTTGATGCATGATCTCCCTAACTTAGATAGTAATATAGTGCATTCTGAACTGTATACTTCTCAATTACAGTTCATAAATTCTTTAAGCAAATTAAGGATTAAATCCATCTTCCCAAATGTCATTAACACAAATATAGTCTAAACACCCACCAAATAAATACTTTTGAGAGAAAAAAAAGAGTCAAATGTTGATTCTTGAATACCTTGCAAGTGCTGCCGGATGAACACAATTAACAACAGCAGTGAAAATGGAAGAATCTGCTCAATCCACCTCGAAACCTGCTGCATATCATACCGCTGTTGGTAGGATGAATCACTATGACTCCCACTCCCACCATTCCCACCATCAACGTCACTGGAATCAGCCATCTCTCTCTCTCCTCTACCACCATCTCCGCCATTCATGGCAGCCCCGGCCGGTTCACCATCCTCCCTACCATGTTGTTCTTCTGGATTTGCAGCACCGATAATCCGAATGGAAACCTCCCCATTATCACCATTACTACTCGTAGCCGTATCTGAATCACTGGAACTACGAATATCATGATCATGATGATGATGGTGGTTAGGAATCAGACTCTCTGATTCAGGGTAATCGTTGTTTGACCTAGGTCGAAAAACACCAGAATACTCCAATACAGTAGTTACAGGTGCTTGTAGAAATCGAATTACAGGAAACGACGAAGAACTAGTACTACTCGTAGTCCTTGTTGACGGAGATAAAGGATTTGACGGAGCTAAATGATCAGAATTCGTGGTATCAACGCTGACACCTGCTGTTTCCATTAATTGACACCAACCCCAGATCGTACTTCCACAACTTTAATCAAGAAATATCTCTGAAACAATTGAAAGATTATCAAAATTGAGACATGAACAGAAAAAAAAGATTACTGGATGAGGAGGACATTGAAAATTAAAGTCAAAGAAGAAGATTAGGTAGCGATATCGACGTTTGTGTGTAGGGAATGTATATATGTATGAATGATCTGGGAAGGAAACAAAAGAGTGGAAGATGGAATTAGTGATGAGTTATAGGGTTTGTGAAGTTGAAGAATTCAATTCAAATTAGGGATAAAGAAATGAAATGGCATAATTAAGAACAAGAATTGAATATGAAGAAACGTGTAATGGATGCAAAGTGATTAAAAATTGGGATCTACTAGAACAAATACAAATAGCGCACTGGGCGAGAGAAGACCGTGTCTGAAGCCAAAACAATCAACCCCTCAACGTCTGTACCTTGTACGGTCACCAAACTCTTCTACATCCTAATTTCATCTTATTTATTAATTTTTTTATTAACCTGGATATCTAACTCGTTATGCGAGCCGACTAATTTCAAGATGACTACCTATTTTGCAGATAACCTGGAATTATCACATTTGAACCTCCGTGGCCACAAGATGATTTTTTCATTCCTCCTTGGATTTTTATTATACATAGAAAAAAAAAGTTGATTATTGATAATTTCAACCAGTCTTAAATGAAACTTCAATGAGCGAATATTTTTTGGTTTGCTCAGTGGTTCACGCTAGATAGTAGAGGGATTGATTGAACCCAATATGTGTCTTGTATTTGGACAAAATCGTCGTATATCTCTTTACTGATTTTTGATATAAATAAATAATTTTGTACATCTTTTATTTGAATGGCATCATAAAAAGCGTTCATTTTGGTCTTGAAAACCCACTTTACCTATAACAATCATAAAGGAGAAATGTTCCATCCAATAAGTCATCATTTCAAGTTTTTTAAAGTTATTGGGGTTTTTTATGGTTGAAATCCGTAACGGTAGTGCGTAAAATGGGGATAATCTTATATTTGATAAATATAAATTTGAACCCTAAAAAACATCAAATATCTATTTTCTTTTTTGGAAGGTAAGTTGCATAGGAAATGGTTTTGCTTGTTGATGACAAATGAAGGGAACCAAACAAAGAAGAAAGCAATTGAAAGCACATCTTACCCTTTCAATCTACCTCAAGGAAAGTATCCAACATCTCTAGTGCTAATATGGTAATTCACTTGGTTTTAAGTACAACTTTTTAGGAGTAAGATATGGTATCACTGTTCACAAATCACAACATTTTTTTAAGTAAAATAACAGAATTTTGTATCTTGATAACGAAAACATTCATCATTATGTCTCTAAGATGTATTCTATGCAACACTTTTCATTGAAGATCTCTAATAGACTCTTCATTCGGGATGTGCATTCGACGTCTTCAGTTTTGGACAAGGTTCTAAAAGGTGTGGGGCATGGGGCATCGAGGCCACAACATTTTTCAAGACATGACTTATGATGACAAATAAGTATCGCATATATAATATTATGTATATAAACATATGTTTTCTACTATTACTTAATGAGTTAATGATATTAAACAATTTAAATTAGGTTATATATATTAAAACTTACAAGAAAGACATTAAAATGGTAAGAAAAATTAAATATCGTGTTACAAAAACCGTGCATTAAGTCATAGTGTATTACAGACTTAAGTCATTCTCGCCACATCAACTGTTGCAATAATCCTTTTAAAACACCAGTTTTTGACATAATGTTTTAATAAATGTTGCAATAATCCTTTTAAAACATCGCTTAATTTCTAGATTTTCAACCTCTGACTTCAAAACTCCACCCTTATATGTCCAATATATAATTAGGCTTCAATTATATAATTTGTAAAAACATATTGTTTTAATAAAATTGGTCAACTCTAATTTTGATTGGTTTTGACTTTTGACCGAATGAACTGGTCCAAATAGAAACTTGGTCTTCACAAAATCAAAGAACCAAGCTAGATACCTTGTAATCAAAGTAGTTGCTCAAAAATCCGATCAAATCAATCCAAACTAACGTGAAATGATTCAATTTAAGGTAACTTGATGTCTAATTGAATTGTAAAAATTTTAAATCGACTTAATTGATATTGAGTTACTTTTATTTGAAAACAACTTAAACTGATAAACCCAATATTTTTTTATTTCTTGGATTTAATATAATTGATGATTATCTATTAATATGTATATTAGACAATTCTCTTTATATACAAATAATTTCAACTATTCTCCATCTTCATATAACTCCATTTTATATATGCTCAGTAACTATGAACACACACATATACATATATATATATATATATATACTAGGTTTGATCCTGTGTGTTACACGGGGTAATTTGAAAAAATTAAATTATGTCAGGAACTTATCTTATATATATGAATGATCATCGAGAATACGATGCGACTTCAGACTTGTACTCTTGAAATAACTCTAAAGTATAATTGTCAAGAATAACTCTAAAAAATGATTCTCTAGACTTGAATTTAGAAATTAAAACTATATCAATAATTAGTTAAAATGAAGTTAACTCTCGAATAAAATTAAATTTAGAAATGAAACTATATCAGTAAATTGAATTTAAACTTAAAAGTAAATTTAGAATGACTCTTCAGACTTGTACTCTTAAAATAACTCTGAAAAATGACTTCAGACTTGTACTCTTGAAATAACTCTGAAGTAAAACTCTTTAAACTTCAAAGCTTTGTATAGGCAAGCCAGAACCTCTGCATGCACTATGCAGAGGCTCTACATGCACTATGCAATGGCTCTACATGGTGCTTCGTCTGGAAAAGAAGACTTCAGAGTTCGGGTGAACTAACTCTGGATAATGACTATTCAGACTTGTATTATGGAAATAACTTTGAAGTAAAACTTTGAAGAATGACTCTTTAGACTTGTACTCTTGAAATAACTCTGAATTATAAAATCAATCCCACTAAATCAGAGTTCAGACTTCTAATTTGGAAGAAAAAAAAGATTTCAGAGTTCGGGTGAGCTAAGTTTGAAAAAAAAAGACTTCAGAATTCGGGTGAGCTAACTCTGAAGAATGACTATTCAAATTTGTACTCTTCATACTTGTAGAAGACTTCAGAGTCCAGATTTCTAAGTCTGAAAAAGAAGACTCCAAGCTTCTTTTTCTAAGTCTAAAAAAAAGACTTTAGAGTTCAGACTTCTAAGTCTAAAAAAAAAGACTTCAGAGTTCAAACTCTAGAGTTTAGGTGAGCAAAGTTTGAAAAGGCAGACTTTAGAGTTCGGGTGAGCTAACTCTTTAAAATGACTCTTCATACTTGTACTCTTGAAGCAACTCTGAAATATAACTCTGAAGAATGACTTTAGACTTGTACTATTGAAATAACTCTAAAGTATAACTTTAAAGTATAACGTTAAAGAATAACTCTGAAAAATGACTTTTCAGACTTGAATTAAGAAATGAAACTATATCAATAATTAGTTAAAATGAAGTTAACCCTAGAATAAAAATGAATTTAGAAATAAAACTATATTTGTAAATTGAATTTAAACTTAGAACAGCGCATGTGTCAAATCTAAAGACAAAGTCTGGAGACCTTGTGAAACAGCCCACAATGCTAAATATGATATAAAATCTTGTGTAACCCAAAATCCATGTAATGAAACAGGAGAAAATATGGATTAACAAAAACTTTATCAGTTACAGCACAAACATCTAAATAACACTTCTGTACATTTTTCCCTTGCCTTTATCTTGAGATGATAGATGACCTGCAAAACAGATTAGTCCAATAATTGAGCGTTAGACCAGAAGGTCTAGTGAGTGTATCTTTCTTATACAAAACATAACATTTTTTAAAATCCAAGATTATAACAAACCTGGATCTTAATAAATCATTTCATCACTCATCTATCACGGTGACACCACCAGTTCATTTATCGCGGTTACACCGCCATTTCATCTATCGCGGTTACACCACCAAATCATCTATCGCGGTTACACGGCCAATTCATCTATCATGGTTATACCGCCATTTCATCTATCGCGGTTACACCGCCAGTTCATCTATCGCGGTTACACCGCCAGTTCATCTATCGCGGTTACACCGACATTTCATCTATCATGGTTACAAAACATTCTTAATCAAAAAAGACACTTATCCAGACAACACTATGTCCGGAGAGACACAAATACGGTCAATACTTTGACCGGTAGGGGAAGTATCCGGCTAAAACTTTGTCGGTAAAAGTTATACGGTTAAAGACACTTATCCGAACAACACTATGTTCGGAGAAACATATATCCGGTCAATGTTATGGCCGGACATCCCCCTATCCGGACAACACTGTGTCCGGATACAAACTCATCACATATGAATTCGGTCGTTGAATAAGGTGATCAATCATACTCTTTAATCCAGACAACACTATGTCCGGAGACCCTCTTATCCAGACATTACTATATCCGGAGACAAACTCATACATTCAAATCCGGTCAATGCTGTGACCAGACTTACTCTAATTCGGTCAGTACTACGGCCAAAGATGAGTCAATAACAGACATTGAAGAAACCATCAACAATTGTAAATGAATCACTTTGAAGCAAAATATTTCTAATACAAGGTCAAATCATAAGCCAAGCATAAGATAATCGGATACAGAAAGCTATATCACTCACCTTTGCCTTTGAAAATGGCTTTTAAGTATGTTTCTTCTTATGATCTTCACGAACTAATGTCTCCCAAATCAGCCTAAAAAACTTTCCCATTCGTATGCACTTGCTATTCATAGCAAGTGCATAGCCGCCCTTTCAAGGCTTAATAAGAAATCTTCTCAATTAAACTAATCCATCCACACACAACCACTCATATATACATATCTATGTACATATAATTACTTTTCTAATTCTTAAAGAAACTGAATATTACAATATCCCTTCCTTAGAAGAATTCCGTCCCAGAATTCCACTAAGTAAACATATAAGGATATTTCATTCGCATTTCTGACTCTGATTCCCAGGTGGCGTCTGGCCCTTTATGATAATGCCACTGAACTTTTACTAACCCGGTCTCTTTATTCCGCAGTTTCTTTACCTTAAAGTCAAAAATGGCCTTTGGGTTTCTTCAAAACATAATTTCTCATCAATCTTAATTTCTGGTAGAGGCACTGCTACATCTGGATTTACTAAAAACTTCCTCAAATTTGACACGTGAAATGTGTCATGAATACCCCTTAATTCCAATGGGAGTTCTAGTTCGTAAGCTACCTCTCCAATTCTTTCAATGATAGGAAAGAGTCCAATATACCTTGGGCTCAACATTCCTTTATTTCCAAAGCGTACTACCCTTTCCACGGTGATACTTTTAACATTATTCTATCTCCAAT